CAGCTAACACAGTATTGGTACCAAGAAGGCACAGGTGTATTTTGGTTTGGATTGCTCAGCCATGGGTCACCATTTTCAAAGCTGTTCTCAATTCTCAGTTTACTTCTGACTTTATCCTCCTTTGCTCACAATCCCAGGGCTATCCTTCTCTTAAGAGGATCTAGGTGGAAGAACTACCAAAAAGATATAAACCAAGACAAATGATCTCCGAAATTTCTATTTCAAGAATTCACTGAGTTTTTTACTAATCAAAACAAGCAGACATGAGGCCAGCAGATGGCATGATGGTTAAGGTGTTGTACTCCCACATGGCCAACCACAGTTTAAGTCCCAGATCTGGTGGCTTGATTTTTTCACATTCCCTTTCTCTTTCTGTCTCTCTCTAGTGAGCAGGTGTGACCTACAGCAAATTTGAAATAATAATAATAAATAAAATTATTTTTTAAAAGTAGATTAAAGTAGATGGACCTATCTTTTGCCCTCAGAAATATTATGCTATGTAAGAAATGAGAAGAATAACTTAGCTGCCCTGGAAACCCTTTTGCTGATTGGAATTTACACAGAACGTTCTTATAATAAAATGAATTTTATCCCTTTGCTTTTCTCTATGAGATAATCAACTTGTTGGTTTTTTTAAAAAAGTACATTTTTGGGCCAGCATGGGCCATTGAAGTTAAGATAGCTGGATTCCACCTGGCTGATTGCACATTCAAGGCTTAAAAATTATGCTGGGCATATATGCATGTGTGCTCAAAATCCTGAGAGGAGAATGGAGGAGAAGGAATTGTGCCCCTGGTAGGTGATTTCTGACTTCTTCTCCCCTCTGGCAAGCATATTTTACCTAGAGCAAAACTAATAAATAAATATTAATAATACTCTCTTTCCTGCAGATCTGTGCTGTCTGAAATAGTAGCTACTAGCTTTATGTACCTATTTAAATTGAAATCAAAATAGAGTCAATACCTCAGTCATACTTGTCACACTTTAGGTGTGACAACACTTGGTTAGTGGCTATGGTCTTGCACAAAGCAGACCTTGAACATTTCTTTCGTGAGAGAGAGTTCTATGAGACAGCTCTGTCATAGATGGGACTCGGGACCGTGTAAATGATACCCTGATCACCATGAGAGGGGCACCTACAAAGGCGTGGAGAAAGGAAAGTCCCAGAGCAAATGTTGCCTATGCTTTTCTGAGAACTCCCTTTGAGACGGGACCTAGTCAACAAACTTTGAATGACACAATCTCATCGAAAAGACTTTCTCCATTGAGAAGGTGAATAGCAGTATTCCCTTAGCCTGAAACATCCAATGTTAATTCCTTGTATTGATTATATTTTAGTGGCCCACTTACTACTCATGGAACCTTAAATTATTTAACATCTTTAAGTTCCCCATTTTGGGGGCTATTCAGTGATATAACAATAACACAGTGCTCTGTGATGCTGGGCTCACATCGGAAAGTCTAGGGTTCTTATCCCAAGGTTTCTGTGTACATGCCATGCACACGCATGCCTGCCTGTGATCTAGACCAAGGGCAGGAGTAGATGGTTGTATGTAG